TATGTGAGGCTTGTTATTCCTTCTGTGCAAGAGTGATATCATGTCTCACAGACTATTTGTGTGAAAGAAGAGAAACAGAGAGAGAAACAGAGACAGAGAGATTCTTAGAAGCCTAGGTCTCAAGCTCACCAGGCAAATGCTCTACCACATAAGCCATGTCTCTATCCCTTTTAGTTTTTGTTCCCCTTATTTTATTTTTGAGATAGAGTCTCACTGATTTGTTCAGGCTGGCCTCAAACTTGTGATCCTCCTGTCTCTAAAGGGAATAGCTGGGATTACAGGTGCACACTATTGTGCCTGGTTTTTAATAATGGTTTAATTTGGTAAATAGGTATATTTAATTCTCCAAGCCATTTTTTTAAGTTTATAATGTTGTTCTTGGAACTGTAGCCTCAGCAAATTCTGGGAAATTACTAAAGCCAACAATTATCGAGCTGAGCCTTAATCCTACAAAATAAACCTAGGCTACAGCCCAGTAATCCATGTCAGATCATGTAAGAATGGAAGGTAAAGATTTTGAAATTCAAGTCATTAATGATAGTTTGCATACTAACATTGAATGTGCCATGGATGTGATTTTATTAAAATGGAAAGTTAGTTGCGAAGTCAAAAAATAAAACTGCTTGGCGCTCTGTTGTGCTATAGAGTCAATGCTAAAGACCTAAACACTTCTGTGGACAAACCACTTTACAACTCAGTTTTTTTCTAACAAGTTCTAAGTATATGAATGTTTTATTTATTTTATAGCAATTTTTATTGTGACTAACTGATTACATAAATTTCACAGAATTGTGAGATAGTGATACTTAGTTAAAGTCACAAACACATTCTACTCTTCATGGGGCAAATTGTCTTTATCATGGTCTATAAAGTTTATGAGTTCTATAAGCTTTGACAATACAGTTATTTCTTCCACATCGGCTGATATGTACATTTCTTTCCTTTTGTTTAGTGTCAGCTGTTCCCTCTTTCCCACTCATTCCCTCCTTCCCATTGCTGCCATTACATATCAAGTTTCATCCCCATTTTAAGTTCATATTCTTGCAAACTATAAAGTTTTTTGCTGTAAATATGAGTTGTTGCCAAAGGAATTCCTGTTGTACTAGGCTTCAATTGCAAAATAATTCTTCAAGTTAGAACATTTATATTATACAAGCTCCTTCTGTCGAAATAAAGAAGATCCAGCTGTTAACAAAATGATAAAATTGTTTCAGACTGTGATTTGAATTTGCATTAAGAACTATTTTATAATTCCTGAACTAACACATGGAGTTTAAAATAATGACCATTTGGGCTGAGAATATGGATTAGTGGTAGAGTGCTTACCTAGTATGCATGAAGCCCTGGGTTCAATTCCTCAGTGCCACATAAACAGAAGAAGCCAGAAGTGGCAATGTGGATCAAGTGGTAGAGTGCTAGCCTTGCACAAAAGGACAGTGCCAAGGCCCCGAGTTCAAGCCCCAGGACTGGCAAAAAAAAAAAGGACCATTTATTGATTCATTCATATCTTAGTTAGTGCTCATTCCATTTCCTAAGGTATTTCATGTAATAAAATGTTAGGAAACACTACGACATCTATGTTTCAAAATTCAGTAAGATGATAATTTCATATTACATTTCCACTACTGGTTTGTAATATTTTCTAAATATATTTCTCATGAAGTGACATTAACCTCAAGTCTTTTATATCTCGGTTGTCTCGCTGGATAGAGAACCAAATCAATAGCAATTTTGAATTCCATCATTTCTTCTTTTTCAACTGACTTTGAGAGATAGTGACATAGATAAATTATATAGTTGGGGCAGGGAGCCCTGCTCCACAAAAACAACCTTGTTTCACCACATCCACAATGGTGTGTTTTGCCACGAGGCAAAGTTAAACACTGTGCATCATGGCTGTTTTCTTCTGACTCATAGGTGTGTTAATACATACTGTGCTGCTTAAAGCAGCATCAGCCCTCCAACTTACTTGCTTAGGAATCCTCTGTGCTTGCAACTCTACTCTCAATTCTCAAAGCAGGTATTAAATCTTGTCTGAAGTAACATTTACAAAGTGAGGTGCTAGAGAGGCCCACAGGAGACTGCCTCAGGCTGTCCTTACTCAATCAATAGGCTATTCCCAGGAGCTTTATGTTAAATGATAACTTATCCCAGTAGAAATACAAGCAATATAAGTAAAGTCCTAATACACTAGACACAAATGTGAAGTTTTGAAAAGTGGAAATTTAAAATAAACATTAGTGACACCAGTGGTTAATTATTTTATGCAATTCAAAAACTTCAGAATCAAGTTCAAATTCTTCCACTATTGTTTTCTCAGAGGCTACATAGGGGTTTCTTGGGCCCTTCTGCTCTGTCAAATGAGGACTTGTGACTTAGATTTGGTTCCCAGTCTGATTCTCTTCATATGAACTCAGTGGTATTCACTACCTGGTCTGTTACAGTTGCATGTGATAATTATTGCAAAGCCCTGTGTCAGTGCTTAACAAAGTTTAACAGAACAGAGAGTGCTCTGTTCTACCTGAGCTCTCAAGTCTGTCAAAAGCCACTTCTTCACTTGGGGCTATCTTGCTTTGTTGACAGATGACTATTAATAAGAATTGTGTTTTCTGTAAATTTATATCTAAATTTATATCTCTTCTCAATCTCAAGAAGATAACCAAACTTTAGATTTCTGTTGTGTCAGTGACTTTTTGTTACAGAATAACAAGCAAGAAAATAACCGAAACCAAAACACAACTAGATAACCAAAAGACAAAAATTAATAACAACAACAAAACCCTCAACTCATTCCAGTTGCATTCAAGAGAGAGAAAAAAAAACTGGACCATTTGAGTCACAAAAGATAGAGTCCATTCTTGTATATTGTTTCAGGGGAACAGAGGTTGGTGGAGTGGATGAGACAAATTGAGACAGAGTTTAGGAGATTGGCCTTAGGCAGAGAAGGGTGAGGGTGAGTTGTGGTCACTAGGGTATTAGAACAGAGTGCAGCTCTAGACTGTGGGATGATGTCAGGTGAGGATGACTCAGGAAGTAGATAAAAGAGAACTGTAATGCAGTTGAAACAGGGACAAGGGATCAACACCATGAGCTTTAGAAACTCTTTCTGGACACTATTAATGATTAGACTTTAAGATGTTTCCCTACTGGCAGACTGTACTTCTTGGCTCCTGAAATGACTGGATGTGGAGAGTGTTAATGACTGAAGGATGGATGTGCACATAAGATGGGGAAAAGAAGGCAAGGTCAGGATGACAGATTTTGAAAGTGAAAAAAAGGAGAAAAAGCATTCTCAGTGAAAGGCTGGTTGGGTTACAAGACTTTGGTTTTGGTTTTGTTGCCTCTGCTTCTATAAAGTACTCTGAACAGAACAGGTGCTGATAAACACACTAAGTGCTCAGCACGCCTGAGATGCAAGGCTAAGATTTAAGACAGTAGCAGAGATAGAAGTAGAGGCCTTCCCACATCCTCCAGCATGGTGGCTAGGGGGTGAGCCCCTGGGCAACTGAGGATAGAGAGTAGGTATAGGAGGGGATAGGAGGGTGACATAACTTTAAGGGACATGCACATTTCCTTAAGTAATCCCATGACTCACCCTAAAGAAGTAAAATTTAGGGACAACTTTCAAGTATCAACTACTGACATCTATTCTGTGAATCAAAAGTTTGTCTTCAGATTCACAATGGCACTACACTTGGCTCTAAAAGGCCAAAGAAAATCTCAAGTATTCATATAGTCTATAGTCAGTCAAATTCCTCCGTTAAAATGCATTAACTTACCATGTGATGAGCACAGAGGCATATAATTAAATTCTGCCTACTGCTATCTCTTCCTCCAGGCAAACACACAATTATACAGTTTGCTAAGCAGAAGTACAAAAGATCTCCCACTATTGAGATAATACTAAAAGTACCAATACTTCTCACTTTGGACCCCAGTAGAGATAACTAATGGATCAGTTTCAGATGGTGGGAGCACCAATAAGTGCCTATATTTTTCACCTTGACTGGTTGTTGCCTCTAATGTGCAAATGTGTGAACACTGCTGCCATATGGCCACTGAGTAGAAAAACAGTAAAATGTGTATGAGAAGACACAACAAAAACTGTAATGGAACAGATCCCTAGTTTAAACAAACTGGCAAATGCCAGATTTTAACCTTTATTTTATTTTGACTTCCAATTTTCACAACTAGAGTATTAGACTCGATGGCTTATAAACAACATTTATTGATCATGGATTGATTAATCAATTGATTGCAGGGCTGTTTGGAGTTCGGAGTTCAGGGTGTCAGCATGGCTGGGCTCTAGTGCTGGTCCTCTATGCTACAGCCTGCTATTCTCTCCCACATGGTGGAAAGAGAGAAAACTTTCTGTCCATTTATAAGGACATTAGTTTCATCCCCAAGGGCTCCTCCAACTTGGTCCAGTTACATCCTAAAAGCTCCGAACCTTCTGGTACCAGCACACTTGAGTATGTGTGGTAGACATAGCCTATGGTGATCAGTCCTTTGTATCTATGGCTCTTTATTACTGATACTACTTCTCTTGTGACTACATGGTGCTATAATATGACAATTTCCAAGAAAGGTTAAAAAATCAGATATTAGATTTGCACATTCATGTGGAGCTGCTGAATATATTCTGTGGAAAGCCTAATGTCATTAGAGTTACTTCCTATGTTAGTATGGTTAAAAATAGGATCAGTCCCCCCAAACAAGTTTAAGTATCAGAGAACCTGTTGAGTTCAGATGGGGTTCTAAAGAAGGGCTACCATGTACAACTCCCTGAACAAAATGTTTCACGAACCTATGCCTGTATATCCCTAGGGAAAGCATTGTGATTTGAGATCATCTGAACCTGAACAATGGAACTGGAAATTACTTCAGTGTCATTTCACTTGACAGCTTCATGCCCATTTCAGAAAAGGCCATAGAGGATTCAATGTATTATGCTCATAAATGTTTTCCTCAAACATCATAGTCCAAAATAACAGAGCTTTGAGGCATATTAGCTTCAAATTTTGGAATTATATAAATTCTCTGAATCTTTGATTCCTCAATGGAAGATGGAGATAATGGGGAAAATGGGGATTGCTGCATCTAATAATATAACCTATCGACATGTGAGCTTCACATTTGAGTGTACCCAATGATTCCTGTTTGCCTTCCTTCTACTATCTTCTGTTTATCTTCAGCTATAATGGCAGAGTAGACAGATAAATGTCTGGGTATGCCTGGGCCACCATCCCTGGTGGAGCCTTCAATGCTGACTTTGTATCCTCTTGATGTTTCACAGCCTGATGGAGCAGCCCTCTTACAAATTACCTTATGGTAATGTGACAATTCCCTGCAAGTGTGGAAAGAGATGACTCCATTTAGTAATGAGGTTGAGAATAAAAGGTATCTTAAAGCATGTCACTACCAAGGCTCCTAGGATTATGGTACACACACCTCTTGACCACATCAGCTTATTTTTTTTTTTATCATCTCAGAACATAACCAAACAACTCCCCTTTCCCAACATGTATGGCTCAATTTAATGTCTCTAAGCAATTATAGGCTTAGACTTCTAAAGTACAAAATGCATTTTATTTTTCATTTATTTTTCAGTTGCAAAGTCAATAGATGCCTTATTGTGAAAATCAAACACTCAAGAATATTTTCATACTCAGTCACATGAAGTGGAACAGGGTGAATTCAGCTCTGCAAACTACCCAAGATGAGAGCCAGAAGTATAGGTAAAAACATGAAGCTTTATCACCTCATGGAAGGAAGATTTTGTAAGAATTAGATTCTCAGCACCTCATAAGTATCTTTAGTCTTGGAGTTTATCAACCCCAATGTAATATGATATTCTTTCTTGTGTGTGTGTGTGTGTGTGTGTGTGTGTGTGTGTGCGTGTGTGTGTGTGTGTACAGGTACTGAGGCTTGAACTCAGGGTCTTACAACTTCACTCAGCTTTTTAAGCTGGTGTTCTACCATCTGAGTGACATTTCCACTTCCAAATTTCTGCGGGTTACTTAGAGATAGCAGTCTTTCAGATTTGAATGTCCAGGCTGACTTCACATCTTTGATTCTCAGATCTCAGCCTTTTGTGTAATTAGGCTTATAGGTATGAGCCACCAAGTGTCCAGCAAGAAACTCTTATGATTAGATCTCTCCTACAAGGAGTAGACATTCTTAACATCAATCATGCTAGATAAGGCTGTAGTTAAGATAGAATATAAGAGTTTGCATGGTAGATCTTACATAGGAAAGGGGGGAAAAGAAGAAACACTACTTCCTGGGCCTTCGTCTAGACTGTGTATGTACAGAGGCTGTCTCATGGTAGTTGAGGAAGCCTGGCTTCTACCTGCTACTGGATTTGCAGAGGACCTATCTCATGGAACAATATCATTTTATTTGAAAGAGATGGCATAAATATTATGAATTCTGAGGCCTTTGAAAGGCTTTCCATGTCCAGTATCCTTTTCTTCTTTACAGTCCTAGCTTATTAGAAATCAAAAGGCAAAGTTAAATAAATTTATATTGCGAAAGCAATAAAAATAAAAAAATAGTGATCAAAAACACGAATGCAGACAGGGCTACAAATGCATCACCCTGCTTAATTCTTTGTCCCCAAGAACTCAAACTATTTTCATAGTGGGGCAACCATGTACCTATTCCACAGTATATCTTCAATTTTTAAGAATTAATGTCACATAGATCAAAATCTCCCCTCCCCAACTCTTGTAAGTAACAGTGGTAATATTTTTGGGAAGACTGATTTTCGGTCTCCAGTAGTTGCATTTGAACCACAGATCTAAATTTTCACTTCTATAAGGGAATTAATTACTCTGGTTTGTAGGGTAGGCAGAAGAACACATGCAATACATGGAGGGGAGCTGATGTAGAGTGAATAATGACTAGTTGGTCACTCTTCTGTGTGTGATTTTAAACGTCTGCACTTTTACGGTTTTGTGTGTACGGTTCTGTAGGGAACAGAGTACCAATTTATGCTTTCCATTTTTGAATTTTAATCCTCTTGATTCTTAGCTGCCAAAAAAGAAGCACACTGAGGGGAAAGTCATTTGCCTAATGTCACCCAGCAGGCCACTGACTTGAAAGTAGGCCAGATGGACAGTTGCCAGTACTGGCCTCTGATGAATATTAAAAAGGCACAGGCCTTAGAACATTAGAGGACCTCTCCCCTTAGCATATTTCTTTGTAGATTCAAAAAGCCTAGGAGGCCAGACAGGGTGAGATCAAATGCAGGTCTAAATGTGAAGATCATGAACAAGCAGAAGTCGATGAAGAATGCAGGAAAAACTAACCAAGTAAAAGAAATTTCCAGAAAAATTACCATGTGGTGACTGCTCGGGAGATGGAAGTAGCAGGATCAGTCTGAGGCCTACTCTGACAAAAACAAGAGATCTTATCTGGAAAGCAAATTGGAAGCAAAAGCATCACAAGTGTGACTCGAGTAGTGGATGAAGAAAGGCCCTGCAATCCAATCTCCAGTTCTGAAATAATAGAAAATAACAATAAGTAAATAAATAAACCAGATGGACAAGTTCCCTGAATCTCTTTGACTACCTTGAAGTCCCCAAAAACCAAATTGTAATGGGTTATGTCAAAGGCAATTTATGGGAAGGGAAAATTTATGAACTCTCAGAGCCCTTTCAAGTGTTTTCACTGGTAAACTAGAAAAAATAACAAGTATTACCTTCTGGGGCTGTTGTTATAATTAAGACAAATACCAGAAGTTCCGTGATGGAGGAAGGGTCAGGTTCCAGCGCATGACACATCTCAGCTTTCAACGACTCCCAAGTCTGTACGTAGGCTGTAGCCTTCCCCCCACCCCCTCCATTCTTGAGGTCATTTGATTGCATGTGATTTTCTGCTCAGTGCCCAAAGGCTATAGCTATGAACTCAAATGTCTGCTAGACAATGGATTACTTGACAAACACCGACATTTGAAAAGCCTTCCTTATCATCCTCGTATGAGGACAAGATTAATAAAGACTTGTCCCTGGGGTTGGAGCTGCTGTCACCAGGAAAAGTGGCTGGGGTGGAGAGTGGGGTGGGAGGGAGCGGAGCCCGCTCCCATCTCGGTTCTTACTAAAGTAACAGCTCCCTCATAAGGTTGACAAAGCACTGACACATTGGTGCGTTCAAGATCACGGCCGGGAAATTCGGGAGTTGTCTTCCGCTGGGAACCAAACGGCTCGGGACACGCACAGTGCCAGGTGCGCCAAAGCTCCAGTGTCTCCGGGAATACCTGGGCACCCCCTCACTTGCGCTCCCACAGCTTTCCCAACAAACCGGGGCGGGATGGGAGTGTCTTTTTGGCTGGGGAAATCGTTCCTCCTACCTTGTCCTGAAGCCACCTTCCTGCAGCCCAGCCTCCGCAGTGATTTTCCTGTCCCTGACGCCCAGCGAGGGCGCACGGCTGGTGTCCGCCCCGAGGGAAAGGTAGGGGCTGTGCCTCGCCGCCTCGCGGGGGGATGGTGAGCCCCGCAGATCTTCTCTCGGCATTGCACCTCTCTGGGGGGCGGCCTCGGCTACCGCGGTGGTGGCGCCAGCGGTGGAGTAAGAAGGAGCTTCCTGGGGGGCTCCGCGCAGCCGCTGGGAATCGTGACCCCGGTCCGGCCCGGCGCGGACGCGCACGGGCTGCCTGGCGTGTGGGACTCCCGGAGCCAATGCGCCCTCCTCCGCTCCCCCTGGCCGGAGCGAGAGGGAGAGAGAGATCGAGAGAGAGCGTGCCTGCGCCACCTTCCTCCGGTTTCCGCCAACCACCAGCTTTGGGGACCCGATGCGGCAAGCGCCGCCCGAGAGAAGGCAGTGGGCTGGAGCGAGCGGCGCGGGCGGGCGGAGCGCGCAGGGCCCCCGGCCGCCGAGCCCGGCTCGCCTCTGCGGCTGTCGCGCCTGGGCCTTGGCGGGTAACTCTCGGGCTGGCTTCGCTGAGGGTTTGTGTGCTGGGGTAAGGGAGGCTGGGGGTACGGGGGAGGCTGCGTTCCGGAACGAGGTCATGGAGGCCTTGGGTCTGTGGTGCCCAGACCCTCAGGCTCTGGGGCCTCGGAGGCTGCGGATTGCGGGGTAGGGGCGCGGGGCATGGGCTGCTTCTCCACCCGCGCGGTTAGAGTCAGGGGCTTGGCAGTCGGGGGAGGGTGCTGGGGACCCCTAAACCAGCCGGGGTTTGTGGGGGCGGGGTGGGGGTGGGGACGACAGCCCGGACACCACGCGGAGTTGCGCCCGGCTGGGGCTGGGGCGGCGGGAGCGGGAGGACCCGCGTGGAGATCTGTTTGCTCTCATCCAGGGAGGTTGTTTGGACCAGAAGCTCAGCTCAAAAATGTGCCCAGATCCTCACTTCCTATCCTATTGTAAGAAGGGTCAGTCGGGTGGAATAACCAAGGGTTCTGGAAGATTCTCCTCTTTTTTTTTTTTTTTTTCTTTTAAACCATAGAAAGTTTTTCGGGAAACCCTTCTTCCCGCCACAATAGAACCAAACCTAACAAAACAAACGCAAAGGAAGTAGTTTGGGGTGAAGGGGGGCGGTGAGAAAATTGTAGTGTTTGGGTTGCCGTCAGTTTTCTAGATAAGAGAAGAAAATTGTAATGTGAGGGTGGCTCCCCGAGTCCCAGAGACTTATTTTTTACTTAAGAAAAAAAAAAGTAGAGAGATTTCCAGAAGCCCAAAGAAACCCAAATCACCTTCTTGAAGGCCCTTTAAGGTTAATGGGGAGGAAAGAAAGCAGAGGGTGGGAGAAATAGAAAAAGGGGACTCAGTGTGTGTGTGTGGGGGGGGGGAAGCTGCTGTTCAAAGGTAATGTTTGAAAATGGTTTAGGAGGGGAAAGGGGAAGACAAGGGCTTCTAGCCTATCAAAGCCCACACAGTTTCTAAATTCACTGGCATCTTTGCTTTTAGAGGAACTGCTAGGGATGGAAGGGCAGCTGAAAGCGTTTGTCCCCCCCATCGCGCTCCCTGTGCAGCTGACTTTCAGAACAGGGCTTGCCCTCCTGGCCGGCCACCTCTGTTATGGTAGACTGAATATTTGGCTTTCTGTCTTCCAACTTCCTCTCCTTTTTATTTACTTTTTATTTACATGGACATGTTCAGTGTTTGGAAAGATTTGGTCAGGATCTCATCAGATCAGCATTCCAGGTTACTTGATTAGACCGTAGTAAATTAGTTTGTAGTGTTTGTTTTTCACTTAGGATTGTTTTTCAAATCAAGATCTGAAAGGGGAGGAATCCACTTTACTAGATTGATTGTTGTCTTGACTGTTTCAGACAGTAGGTAATGGTCTCTAATAATCTCCATGCAAGGGACCTGGAGATGTAAACATAAAGGGTGACTCTCACTTTCCATTGGTTAGAACGTGTTTGTATTAGTCTGCTTTTTCTTTCTAAACTATCCTTAGCAGGAACTTGGTAGGGAAGAGACTATAGATCATTGAGAGAAGAGAGAATGAATGAAAAATGTCATTAAGAGATATAGCATGAAAATAAAATGTCCAATGAATAAAATGTCTCTTGAAATTGTAATTCTTAAGCTTTACAGTTTCTGATTTCAGAACTCAGTGGTAGGGGACTGCATTTCACAGCCATTTTCTTCTACTGGAGATATTGCTGTGTGGTATTGCATGGGACAGATAATGAATAATTCTGTGTATCCTTCCTACATTTCCATGATAAGCGTGGCCAGTTCACCATGCAGACTTCCAGATGGCTTCCATGGAAAGTATGATTCTACCCAGGGACCAGACATCTGGACCAGACTTAATATCCATTCTGGATATGTTTTTTGAGTAGGTGAGGGAAGCATTGGCATATATACTATATATATATTATATATACATACATATATACATATATATGTATGTGTATATATGTGTGTATATACACACACACATGTATATATATATATGGCATCCACTGTTATCCCTTGTGTGCTTTCCTGTGATCCCTTCCCCTTTACCCCCATTTGCCCCCCAGTTCTGGGGCTTGAATTCAGGGGCTGGGTGCTGTCCCTGAGCATTTTTGCTCAAGGCTAGTGTTCTACCACTTGAGCCACAGCTCCACTTCTGGCTTCTTGCTGGTTAATTGGAGATAAGAGTCTCATAGACATTCCTGTCTGGGCTGCCTTCTACACCATTTTTCTTCATTTTTTTAACATCCATCTGAGACAGAATTTTTAGTTCGTTTCAAGTGAAAAAATTATGACTACTCCAGGATGAGTTACAATGTCTCAAACGAAAGACTGTTTTTACCCTTGCTTTATACTATCTCATAAAATTCTTTCATCCTTTGTACATAGTCTTTCCTTGGCTGTGCACACATACACTTGATTTACAGATACCTTGATCTGGGTATATTCTATTAACTCCTCAAGCTAGGCTTCTTGGACAGGAGCTTTCTTTCTGACAATCTTGGACTTTCATCATTTACCTTCTGTCTTCTTTACATCTTCAATGTGTTACTTAGATTGCCTGTCTGGCCAATCCAGGAGTTTGGCCATCTCCAATGAGTTGTATTCAAAGTCCTTTTCTTCCTGGAACTATTTTAAGTTCCTATAAACCCTTCAAATACCAGCTTATATCTTACCTCTCAGAAATCTTTTCAGAGCTATATTTCATCCTCTCATTTGTCTCTGTCAAACTACGGTGATAATAAATAGTTTATATTACAGTTCCCAGGGAACCCTTATGGATTAAAAATGTATTTATTTGATTTGGAGAGAGGTTGATGTATGGAATAGAATGTGCCTTGGGCTTTACCTTGTTTCAATATTTATGACTCCATATAAGGCCACCCCTGATTCCCTCTCTTCTTCTTTCTTTGCTTTCCTGCTTGCATGCTTTTTTCCTGTTAAGACTGGCACTCTACCAGCACTCTACCACTTAGCCACACCTTCACTTCCAGCTTTTTGCTGGTTAATTGCAGATAAGAGTCTCCAGGACTTTTCTTCCCAGGCTGAACCACAATCTTCCGATCTCAGTCTCTTGAGTATCTAGGATTATACACATGTCCGTTGCAGGGGACCACTTGGAGGCAGGCAGGCACAGGAGAAAGATTATTACAAGATTTATTAGAGAAGCTATATTTCCCCCCAAGAAGGAGCACATGGCACCTGTCCCTATCCAGGTAGCTGGAGGGTCTGGGGGCCAGAAGTGAGGTAGGGGGGTGCTCAGGAGGTCTGGGTGGATACAGAGGATGGCCAAGGGTGGGAATTCCAGGGCAAGGAGGAGCTCAGGTGCGAGGGACCAGCTCCTCTGGAGCACTGGAGCCGACGGGACAGGGATCTCAGGATAGGTGGGCAAGGAGTTGACGAAGTGTCAAACAGACACAGACTCAAAAGAGTTGCATCTGAGTGTATCTTTATTGAGGAGAATTAGCATTTTTATACAGTGTGTGATTGTGACATAGATTCTTTGTTTATTTAAGCACATAATCAATTTTTTAAAAAGGCAAAGCATTGATGAATTACATGAAAATTGATGACTATCCAACTGTTTAAGCTAAGTGGTGCGAAACAAGTCTAGCATATTGTTTAATAGAATGCTTCATCTATTCAGCCTTTTTATGTTTAATAATTAACAAACCTAAGACAGGGCTGTACTTATATTGTACTCTTTTTATTTTTATTTATCCAACTATTTTCATTTTTATAAGCTCCTGTATAAGGAAATGGTTTATCAGTTGGTTCAGGAAGTATGATGTTACTAACTTTATATTTTGTGTGAAACCACCATCTATTCCCTATAACGTAAGTTGGACTAAACTTTATCATAACTGTTGGGAGAATCTTTCTTTTTCTTATATAATCAGAGGTTCCCCCCCTTTTTTTTTAGAACTCTCTGAACTACTGGAATAACTCTAACTTAGTTTAATTCATTGATTTTTGTCTGTTGGACATATCTAGAAATTTTAAGTCTCTATATTTACAATGTGTGAGCTGCAAAACCGCTTGTGAAGTTGTAGGAGTTTCTGGAGGCAACGTCACATCAGATGATAGATTGATTGGGGCATTGCCCACATTTAATCTTTGGTCTTAGTCTTTGTTACTTAGAGAAGCCATCTCTATTGGACTGGAAAGATACAACATGCTCTGTTTGCAGATCAATAGAAAAATAGCCAAAATGAGAATAAAGGCAATGAATGTACAGCCAAGAAGAATATAGTAAGAATAAAGGTAGAGGCTGTAAAGGTGCAGCCCAGTGTATGGGAAGCCTTGAACCAATCCCCCTTCCTGCAGGCATGCTTCCTTGAAGCATGTCCAATGCGATCTCTCAAGCAGACTCCGCAGGAGGGGGCGTGGCACTCAGGTAAGGGTTGAGCTGAGGGCCAAAGGTGGGCATAATGCTAACAGAGTTACCCGCACCTGGCTCCTTATAAGCTTTTAGAAATTCAGTCCCCTCATATTTAGTGGTAGCTGGAACTCTTTCCCTTGATAATGCCTCAGCACAAAATCAGCTGTAGTATCGGGATTTGGTCAGGAACTTGACTGCTGTACAATCTAGGGTTTAGGCTAAAGAGGGATAGGATTCTGGGAAGTAAAGTAGTGAGAGTAAAAGAGAGTAAGGGGCTGTAGGATCTAGTTTTCTTTTCCTTGGTCCTATTTCTTTTGTCACCTAAGCCAGAATTGCTAGGTTATCTTTGACTTTGACTTTGGCGACCTTCATGTTCCTGGACATTTGTGAAAGAAAGGTCAAGAAAACAGCCAATCCTAGGGGATTTTCTTATCATAGACTGAAAAGTGCCTAAAAAAGGTTATCTTCTGACTATTCTTTGTCATCCTAAGATGTTATGAAGATAGCTCCCTTTGTTTAGTAGTTGTACTTTGTGCTGCTGTATTTACTCTTTATCTGATCAAGATTAGAGGAATCTTTATATAATGAGAAGAGGTTCCAGATAAGTTGGCCCAGAACTGGAGATTGCTCCTAGGGTATTGACTACTCTTACCTCCTACTTAGTTGTGTAAGCTGCCCGGAGTTGAGTAGCTGCCAGTTGGGCACCATGGCGGTGGGGGGG